ATGGCCGGGCCGGGGTCTGCGCGGCCCTGCAAGGTGCGTGCGGGGCGCTTGGGGCCCCTCCCCGCCTGCAGTCGGGTCTCGGCCCTCTCTTCGGGTGCCTCCTTGGGCCCCTGATTTGCGGGGAGCGGGGTGAGGGGTGTCCCCGCCGAGTGCGGAGATGGGCGATCGGCATAACGGCTGGGGGGGGGGGGGCGGGGCGTATTTTTAGGGAATGGCTGTGCTTGCCTGGCCTTGGCCCAGCAGCCCTCCCTCAGGGCTCAGCGGCTTTGTGTGTGTCGGTAAGGGGCACCGCAGCGAGCTTTCCGGTCAAGGGTTCTTCCACCTCGGGCTCTGTGTGGTTTGAGCAGTGGCCGTAGTTTATTTTTAAAATCCCCAAAGTTCAGGTGTGTACAGAGCTTGGTTTCAGTCTGGAATGTATGTTTGTATGTCAGCCCTTGACCGTGTCATTAGGTGAGTTACTGTAGAATGCCACAGAAATTAATAAAGTTTCATGCTATAAGGGCATGTTTTGTGAAATGAAAACTGCAAGATTCAGTCCTCAGTGGTAGTGGTGGCCCCTTCCTTGGTCTGAGAGCTGTGAATTAACTGATCTGCCTTGGCAAAAGTTCTTGGAATTAGTGCTTAATGGTAGTCTTCAATTATTGTGTGAAGTACTTCATGAAAATCAAAATATATTTCTGTAATTAGCAGGTACTGTCTTCTGGAAGGCTAACAGGAGCAGCTAAATTAACGAATGGAAGAAAACAGTAAGACCTTAATTATGAATACTATCTAAGATTGAGTGTACATGTGAGCGTTTGGGAACCGTATACTTGTCATACCCAACAACTAGCCAGAAATTCTTTGTATATATTAGAAAATGTTTTTAGCTGAAAGGCAGTACAGCCAGGTTCTCAGCAGTCCATGAATAGACAGACACAAACTGAATAGAAATTTTGCCTGTAGAAATACAGGCTTGAGTCCTTCTGCGTGTTTTATTTGTAGAAGACTGAATTTGTGTAGTTATGAGCTGTACATTAGACTGTTGAGTAAAGACTGAATTCTCCTTTGACATGAGCTGTTAATATATGCTAAACACGTTTGTTGCAGCAGTGCAAAGTTTTCAGAAAGGGAAAGGTATTTTGTTTCTTGATAAAATTAATTTACTTTATTTTGGTATTATTGAATAAAAGTGAATTTTTTACTTTGCTGCATATTAAGGAGGTAGTGTAAACAGTGAATTTGACTTTTTCAGGTTTGCCTTAAGAAAAGGATGTCATTCTGATGTGGAGTCTGGATACTCTCTCTATTCCACTGACTCTGACGATCGGGTAATTAAATGACTTTTTAATACAGTCCTCTATGTTTATCTGAAGAGAAGGGAAACTGAAATACCTTGAGTAAAAGAAGAAAAACAGGTTAATTTAGATACTACTGCATCTGGACTAGAAATTGCTTCTGCAAAGCTAGCAAGAGTGTCTATGTTGCATCTTGCAGATACATGCAAGTTGGCTTTGTGTGCAGTGTGTTTGGCTCTCACAAATTGCATCACCTCATTAAGGCACAGGATATATTTTGCAAACATAACTATGCTGTTTATGGACTAGAGCTGGCCCTGGCAGAAGTATAGCCATATTTGTTAGGTTTTGTGCCTAAAGAATGAGTTGTCAGCACTGCAGCGCTGTTTTCTGTGTAGTGCTCAGTCAGTTATCTCCAAAATAGAAATAGGCTGTAGATAATAGCTTAACTGTACATGGAAATAAGAATGAAAATAAGAAAAAATAAGAAAAAAAGAATAAAAACCACACATGCACTTATCAAAACATGAAATCCAGCAAATGGATATGTGTGCAAGAACACAATTTAAGTTTTTTGCAAGATGTGCGTGTTTGCAAACTTTCATGTAACTGCAAAGTAGTACATGTAAGATGACATGGTTTTGCTGGTTATCAGTTGTTCTTTTTCAGGTGACAGAGTGGGGAACACTCCCCTCTAAAATAGGATCTTGGTTTACTAAAAGAAAACAGTGATGCTCATTTTCTGACTGCAGTATTCTTTGTGCAGGTTGATACTATTCATAATGGACTTGACCGTTGTGCAGCTTTACTGAAGAATATCTTACAAAATGAGGCTACAGGTTGTACCTATTGAACATTTAAGTTAAGTTTTTAGTTTTTTATAAGACTGTTTTGATTTGTTTTGTTGACTAGTTTTTGTTTCGACTAATACTAGGAAGGGAGACTATCCACAAGCAACCTGGGAAAACAACTTCTGCTAAAATTAATTCCAAGCCTTTGCTAAACAAAGGAAATACTTCCAAGAAGAAAGGGTTGAAAAAAACCATTACTCCTGCCCACGTCCGAAAAGAAATTGGTAAGTGGGCTTTCTTCGGCTTGCTTTATTCTGAAATAAAATTGAGCCACTCCTCAACTTACTGAGGCGATACAACAAGGCTTCAGATAATTGTTGTTGTTTGTTATAGGTTGATCCGGGGCTGGATCCACAAAAGGATGTAGGCATTACTCATTGCCTTTTAGAAACTTAAATGTTTGCTAAACAGTTACTAAAATTCACAAATGTTTGAGCTTCATGTACAAGGAAGACAGTTGAGTGTGTTTACAAATACCAAAATCGTGAAGTTTAGCTGGTAGGAAGTGTGGAGGAGAATGATAATACCCATGCCTCATTTTTCTTGGACAGTGAAGCATTACAGTGCTTGGTCTCTGTTTGGGATACGCAGCTATAAACTGTCCTGGAGGTAGGTAGGTGTCCAGCCAGGTTTTTCTCAAAGATCAATTTCTGGAAACAGGGAAGTGTTGCAACAGTTAATAAGAACTCAGATGGTTTAGTGGCCAGAGCACTTGAATGGAAAGGCAGATGGAGTACTCTAGGCTGAGTTGCTCTCGGTTGCAATATTTCACTTTTACTAGTATTTCTCCCTCTCTCCATCCCATTTCTTTTGTGTGATTTCTAAACTAGTAGACGGGTGGGGCCTGTAGACTAGGGGTGCAGCAGCAGGCCTGTTTTGTGAATTGTAGAAGGTGAGCACATAGTTGATATCTTCCAGCACTGTAAAAATACGGAGTTGTAATTATACCCAACATAAGAAAATTAGGTTTGGAGAGTGCTTTAGTACGGGTTATTCCAAATGGTTTAAAAGCTTAGGAAGCAGCTAAGCAGAGATTTCTAAGAATTGCATTTTTGAACAGGCCTTTTGTAGGACTGAATGTCTGTGCAGTCTGTCCAACTGGGTTAGGCTGCTCTGTCTGGAAGAAAAAAATGATGGATTAATTTGCTGGTGAGTAAAAATCTGACTGGAATCTTAAGCTGCAGTGTCTTCTGGTTTTCTTTTTCAAAGGAACCTGCCAGAGTCTGCCTGATGACACAATGAGTCTGTGTAGATTAAGACAGACAACTTCAGCTGCCTTTTTTGTTCTTTCTTTCTCTGTAGTGCCAATATCAAATAGAAAACGTGCCTCGTCCACCACACCTTCTACCGAGAAAGAACTTTCCAGCGCAGCACAGGATCAGATGGTTCAACCAGTTCATGTGCCTTGCAGTCAACACTCTCCTGTGATGCATCAGAAACTGTGTGAGCATGTGCAAACTCAGATGTCTCTGATAACTGGCCAACC